CCATCCGGGTGATGGGCCCGCCGGAAGTATTGAGAAATTAATTACGAGAGTGAAAACGTTAACATTGCCAGTCCCAACTAAGTCCAAAAACTGGAAACTATTTTTTGTATCTATAGAGCGGGCGTTCCAATCGAAGAATGTGCCGGAAAAGATGAAAGCAGAGATACTGATTAACCATCATCCACAAATCACCAGCTCTTTCTATATAACCAGCGAGATGGTGACAGTCAAATACGAAAATTACCTTATACAAAGTTACCGGCAAGCACAGAGTATGTTTTTAGGAGTTTTCAAGAGTGCAGAGTTTAAATATTTGGTCCATTTTTCATGAAACTTGATTTCCTTTTGATATTTGACTGTGAATATAATAGATGCTGTAGTACAATTATGTTAACATTAGCCTACCATTGTCCTGTTTATCACAAAGTAGTAAATAAATTAATTACAGTAAGAAAAAAAATATAAAAAATAAAATAAATATAAGAAAAAAAAATCTATTTTGAAGCAGAAAAAAATGAATTTTATTTAAATTCTTATAACAAAAATAAAAACAAATGCAATCAGATATCAACTTGCTAAGAAAACAATACTCAGATGGTACAGAACAGCACAATTTTATTTGTCAGGTAGAAGGAAATTAATGTTTTTTAACACACAATAGTTGTTGACTTCTGCCTGCATAAGAACAAAATTCAAGACATCCGACTTTTTTTTAAAATAACCAATTATTAAAGTCTAAATTCTTTTGCTTTGTATGTTTAAAAATAATTCTGTTAGAACTAAGTGAATTTTTTTCTCTCTACATTTACTGTTGTATTACCTAACATATTAGTATTAATTCAACTTTAACAAAAATTTGCTAATTATAAACTAAATATTGTAAATTTTGTAGACATTTAAATTTTTCATTGTTAACAAGTTTGTTTTGTCAAATTGTGAAACTTTATGTATCTAAAGTTAGATATAAGGTTGAGATTTGAAACCTTAAAGTACTATTGCTGAAATATGAAGTAATAATAAAATCAAATTATTAAACCAATCCAATGGTTCTTCATATTTACTCAGCTTATATTATAAGAATTGCATACAAACATTTTATTTTTGAAGTTTAGGGAAAGCTTAGTAGTTCTGTGAAAAATGCGAATGTTGCATTAGAAGAATATTATATCTACATTTTTGTGTGCTTATCATTATTGTGTCAGTGCAAATTATAATTTTTTATATCATCAATAGACTTAAAATATATTTTGTGGAAATACAAAAATAATATTAAGATAATTACCGATTGCCCAAAGATGAGTTCCTTTGGAAGGACTTGCAAATGTTCACCTCCACCATATTTGTCAAGAATATTTTCTTTTATTCTACATTTAGATTCCTGTTTTTTAACTTCGAACTCCTTATACAAAAGTTCAGCCCTTGTAGGTTCAGACTGGAGGTGGACGTCCACGTTTTTTCTATATGCTTCCCAAGCAAACACTAGAAAAATTATAAATGTTTATAAATTAAACTTCAGAGCTTTTTTGTAATTAATAAAATAACTTTAAAATACTTGTCAGAAATTCTTGTGTCAATACATGTTTTAAAATGAAGTATTAATCTTAAATAATTTAAATATTTAAATGATCCTTGCAATAGCATTAATAATTAATTATATAGTACTCTACATATTTATATATTTACGAGATTTTTTAATTTGACTGTACAGAATATAAAATTAATTAAATCTAAAAATAATTGCTTTTTATTATATATTACCATTTTTATTTTAAATTTGTTTAATGTTTGTAATGCTATCTAGTTCAGAAATTGCTAAATATGTCAGAAAATACTAGTAGTGACCTGAAGAAAACGAAAAGAAATGCCTTATTTGCTGTCTTAATCATTTTATTTTATTGTCCTCTATTCTTCATAAATGATTATAAAATCATTTTTCGAAAAAATGAAAATTCTGTTTTGTTATAATTAAATAAAATTAATGTTTTTAACGAATGATTTTTTGGATTTTATTACAGATTTATACAAAAAACAGGCTGTTACAAAAAATTATACCAAGAGATAGAATAAACTTGTATTTTCCATGTAATATTCAAACAATTTATAGTGTTATATATTTTAAATTTTAAACTTCATGGCTTAGAAATTTTTGTAACTTTTATATGTAACATGAAACAGTTGATTTTTAACATTTAACATGCCTCAATCTATCATTGATTTAGCTACAGTTGCCTTCCTTTCTTCTGCAACCTTGGACAAACTAAAAAGTTAGATTTGGTTATTTACTAACACACTAGTCTTTCTTATATGTGTGTTCAATGTAAAAATAACTTAAAAATTATAATAATTAACATATTCCCACACACATTTTAATAAAATAAATATAGATAATAATTATACATAACCTTATGAACCCTATTACAGTGACTAGTTTAATGTTATGAGCCCACTATGAAACTAATTAATACAAACTAACAACATATTCTGGACCTCAGTACTCTCTAAGAAGGAAAAAGTGTTCAACTTAATAATAAAATAAAATAAAATCTATACACTTTAACATGTCCAGCATATGCTGTATAACATACCCAAGGTGTGCTAAGATGGAAAAGCTAACTCTTTAATGATCTAAGGTGCGTGATTAGCATAAAATTATGAAGTGTATCCATAATTCTTTTTACAGTTGACCCCAAATTATCATACTGGTTGGAGTGCATTATAAGTAATATCTAAGTATTTCATAATCTTTTGAAATGAAAAACATTTTAATGCAAACTTTCTGTACAGAAATTAGTTTCATTTAATTTCATTGAAGTTGCAAAATCCTGAAATGTTCTGAAGATTAAAATAGGTTTGCTCTAAACACAAATGACAATCTGTCTGAAATGATGATATGTCTGGTTTCTACATTTCGATACAAAAACTGAAGGTGATAAACTGTATTGATGGCCTCAGTTTTGATCGTTTTCCAGCTTTTATCCCCAAACCACAGTTTCCCTGGAAAGCTGCAGAGTACTTTGAGAGGTTTAGCCCAGAAAAGCTCCATTATGAATCTGAAAAACAAATAAACACAAATACGATATTCGCTGCATTGGATAGAACTGAGCAGCATTTGGCAAAGATGCCCTTTTACTATTACTCTGTTACACAGTTACAAAATCAATGTGCAAAATAAAACATTAAGCATTCCATTTTATGCATCATTAAATTTTGTACCTTACCTGAAGATGGTCATTAAAAATAATCAAAAAGGTTGGTAATTAAAAGGTTTTGCTGCATACATAGATTGTTTGTAGTGTCTAAATATCTACTGTTGCAGTTTCTAGTTGTTACCATAAAGATTGCTTATTTGTTACAAATAATAATATATATAAATACACCGTGTTTTTGCTCACTACTTCTGAATACAGATCTCAAAATATTATTTTTCAGTAAATACTGTATTCACATATCCAGATAGAAGAAACAATTTTTCTTGCGTGTAAAAAAAGTGGGTGTGTGTTTTGCAAAAAGATGTAAAGAAATATAATTTTTGAATGTAGTTATTCTGTACCTAAAGCAAAAGAAAAACAAAGTATGTCCTTATCAATGTCATATTTTGTTTTCCTATAAAATACAAATATTTGAATAAGTCATGTATTATTAAATAAACTGTAAATGTAACTCATTGATTAAATAAACAAAAATTATGAAATTAATTCTGTAATTAATCTGTCTTTGTTTTTCAATTCAGACTGTATTTTATACAAATAGAAATGAATATGACTTATTTTTGCTTGAAATTAAACTTTAATTCACTTAAACTAAAAGAGAGATAGGGAGAAATAATTTACTCTGCATTTGAGAATGTTTTTCCGTATCTCCGGTAGCTTTAACAAAATTATCTCCAGCATACTGAAACCTAAAAATAAAAAAATTAAACATTATTTTTAAATACTAATATCATGTTTTATTTAAAATGTTGCATTTTTACACTAAATTTTTAAAAAATATAATTTGTTCAAAAATTAATATTTATATATTTAAAATATCTTGTAGAATGTAATCGTTCGACACTTACAATAATGTTTCATCCCATTAACCAAGAGTGATAGCCAATCATTTTTAAATATACTATCTTAAATACTTAAAATAAATGCTCAATTTTTAAATTAAGCCAATTATTACATCATAAGCTTTCGTTACTACTCTTCTTATCAGCAGCCATTATTATGTTTGTATGAATGAAAAAAGCCTATCATTATTATGCGTATTTCAAGTAGTGAAGAGACTTTCACAATATTGTTAAAATAACCACAAA